TTTGAGTAAAAAATGCATTCAGGACGATCTTTATTTTTTGTTTAAAAAACAACAAAATGAGAGAGAGATCTTTATTCCAAAGTATTAGAGACAGGCATCTCTTTACTATATACTGTTTCATAGGAGTCCTGGTGTTGTAGTGGGCCACACATTGGGTTGCAAACCACAAGTCAGCAATTCGAAATCACCATCACTCCTCAGAAGAAAGTGAGGCTTTTTGCCTCCGTAAAGACCGACAGCTTCAGGAACCCACAGGGGCCGTTACACCGCGAATCAAAATTAACCCTGTGGCAATGAGTTTGGGTTTGATACTCATCCACTGGCTTTGGTGAACATTCAGCGTATTTTAATGGCTAAGATTCAGACAAGGAATGTACTACTAAATATATTAATAAGTCAGTTAAAATATTTGTTAAAATATTAAAATAAATTATGAAGAGTAGTGATGAAGCCACAAAACATCTCACAAATCTTGTGGACATTATTTTGAATGAAATAAGTCAATCACAAAAGGACCAATGTCGTATGAGATTCCTATTAAAAATGCAAGAATAGGAGAAAGAAACAATTTTTGATGTTTACCAGAGATAGGGGGAAGGACAGAGGATCACTTGATATGAGGGGGTGCCCCCCAAAACTGGATTTTTTCCCAAGGGTATGTGTTTAAATGTTTTTACAAAAACAACCTTATCACCTTCCAAGTACTCTCGATTACATTTAATATGTTTGTCAAATTTCTGATTCCATTCTTGGAAACATTTTTCAAACTCATCTGTTTGGGTGGCTGACAGCACCTCCTTCATTTTGTTCTTCACCTCTTCTACACCATCAAATCACTGTCATTTCATGTCCCTCTTCATTCATGGAAACAAAAAGAGGTCTCAAGGAGCGAGGTCAGGAAAGTAAGGAGTATGGGACAAGAGGAAACAAAATTTCACAGCTGCACTCTGTTCTCTTAAATTCGCCATCACAACTCTGTTCTCTTAAATTCGCCATCACAAAAAATGAGGTTCGAGTGAAATTGCTTTTACGAAAAAATTCACTGTGACCAGAGAGAACCTTCCCAGGCAAGGCCACTGAGTGCACTAACTCAGAACAGGTTCCTCGAAGCTTGCCTAGCGGGAAAAATGTGTACTAGAAAGCTCCACTCCACCCAACACAATTCCAGTTTTGGGGGTTACTACCTTGTAGTAAACAGACGTTGGTAAATTCTGATTTAAAAAAAGGATATGGTTGAAGTTAGCCCAATGTGACCAAGGCACAGGAAGACACTGAGTCGTACCATACCCAAGAATAAAGGACAACTATAGTAGCTACTATATGACACTATCCTGCAACTACCGTAATAACAAATAGTAATTGGATGTATACGTAGGTAGGTATGCAAATAGTAATTGGTGAGTGGATGTATACATAGGTATGCCAAATGGTTGGAGAAGGTGGTAGAGTACTAACCCTGCTACATAACGTGGAAGGTCATACAAGACTATAGCCATGTGCTATATAGGTATGTATGTGGGCTTTACAGTGTACACATTTGTATGTGCTGCATGTATTTATATATGTAAGAGAGCATATGGGAGATGGTCTGATTAGTCTGGTGTGCATCTTTTACAGTGTTAAACATCACTAATTTAAAACATAATACATAATCATACCTTCAAAAGTGGAATCGAAACACCTTGCAATAATAATTATATAATAATGGCTAGGATCAAGTACTGAATAAGAGTCAATCAAACGATTATATAAAACTGAAGAACTGATGCCTTCACATTATGGTGTTGATGATGAATACTGACTATATAATAAATTACCAAAAGAATGAACAAAACTGTTTTGGAAGAAGTGCAGCCAGAATGTCCCTTAGACTTCATTTCACTTATTTTTGACATGTTATCGAAAGAGATCAGTCCATGGAGAAGGACATCCTGATAGGTAAAGTAAAGGGTTTACAGAAAATGAGGAAGATCCTTTTTGGGCTTTTTAAATTCATTTTATTGGGGGCTCATATATACATTCTTTGTGTCAAGCATATTTGTACATATGTTGTTATCATCATTTTCAAAACATTTTCTTTCTACTTGAGCCCTTGGTATCAGCTCATTCCCCCCTCCCCACCCTTTCTCCCTCATAAGCCATTGATAATTTATAATTTATTATGTTTTTCATGTCTTAGACCACCGCTTTCTTCCTTCACCCACTTTTCTGTTGTCTGTACCCCTGGGAGCAGGTTCTAAGTTGATCATTGTTATCAGTTCCCCCTTTCTCCCCCTTTCCCCCTCCCTCTTACCCTCCTATTATTGCTACTCTCATTATTTGCCCTGAGGGGTTTATCTGTCCTGGATTCCCTGTGTTGTGAGCTCTTATCTGTACCACAGAACATGTTCTGGTCTAGCCAGATTTGTAAGGTAGAATCAGGGTCATGATGATGGGGGGAGGAAGCATTAAAGAACTAGAGGAAAATTGTATATTTCTTCAGTGCTACACTGCACCCTGACTGTCTCATCTGTGAGAGGAAGACCCTTAATGAGATGAATTGACAAAATAGCTCCAACAGTAAGCTCAAACATAGCAACAGTGGTGAAGATGGCCCAGGACCGGCAGTGTTTTATTTTGTTGTATATACTAGGTTGCTATGAGTTAGAATCAGCTAAACAATACCTAACAAGTATTATCTAATGTAGGTATCAGCAAACTTTTTTTTTCCGGCAAACTTTTTAATGTAAAGGTTTAGATGGTAAAAATTACAGGCTTTGAAGGCAGTATGTCTATCTGTCAAAGGTTCAACTCAACCAATGTAATAGAGAAACAATTGAGAATGACCGTGTTCCTGTAAAACTTTAGACTATTTAGAAAAAACAAATGATGGTCTGTAATTTGTCAGTAAAGTACTGTTCAGTAAAACTTTGCTCATTTCCAATAACATTTTACTCATTAATTAAAACAACAAAATTGTGACATGTGAATGATAGTCAATTAATTAGCCCCTTCCAGCCATAATCCATATGTGAATATGTGAAATACTGTAATTCTAGACTTCATACCCTTGTGGCTATTGTCTCGGTTTGGAGGGCATTATCTGCTGGTGAACATCAATGGAAATAGATTCAGATGTGACTTCAGTAGACATTGAGGAGTTTGGTGGCATAGTAGTTACACAATGGGCTGCTAACTGCAATGTCAGCAGTTCAAAACCACCAGCCACTCCTCCTTGGGAGAAAGATGGAGCTTCCTACTCCTGTAAAGAATTAAGAGTTCCAGTCTCAAATTAACAAGGGCAGTTCTATCCTGTCCTATAGGGTCACTATAAGTTGCCATTGACTCAGTGGCAGTGAGTTTGGTTTTTGATTAGTATAAATCGAACCACATCTTTGTTTAATGGTTATCTTGGTTACTGTTGCTAGTAATGAATGTAAGGGATGATATGCCCCAGCTGAGAGGAGAAAAGCTGTTTCTGGGTGGCCTGGGGCCAAACCTGGCTGAATAAGATGAGTAAGAGGCCGATACCTACAGGAAACATCCTGCCAGAGGCCCCAGGTCATATGTGCATAAATAAAATACAATTCAGGAGTGAAGTATAGGTTATTACATTTTGTGTACCAATAAAAAGGTGAAGGGCTGTATGTTAATTTATTTGCACTATTGGTACTCAGAGTAATTCTCACAAATTGACCTTTTCCTGCATGGGTGTGGTATAAAGGTAGTGGAAGATGCTAATAGGATTTGCCTGTGAGTAGTTGTGAATAAGATTCCGTGTAACGCCATCCTGCTGCATGAAAAGTGAGCCCTCTGAGAAGCAAGGAGGGTGATCTCATCACTGGCAAGAGCCAGGAGTGGCGTTTCCTCTGGACCCAGCATCTGGTTACTCCTGTTTATACTAGTCCATAAGTCCTTCTTCAGACTCACACAGCCACGTGCAGTGATGCAGAATGCAGATCACAGGCTTTGGGTACAGGGTCATGTGAATCCAAGGTTGGTAGACCCATGGCCGGCCTTCAGCAACTCTCAGGGGCAGCAGGAGAGAGAGCATCCTAGGGCCCCTTCTACAAGAAGGCCCCGACCCCAAGGAGACAGCATCAGGCTGTGACCTGATGACACGTCTGACCCCACTTCTAGCTAGGAGTTTCTACTTGACATAAAATCATCTAACCACCATAGTCATTGAATGAAACATTTCCGGAACATCTGAAAAATTAATTTAGACTAATGTGTCGTTACAGTTGAGTTAACTGTAATGGGTTTTTAATTATTTTTTCTTAACCATGACTAATTTATATATTTACTTTTAACCTATTTTTATTGTAAAATACAATGCACAAAAACTTCCAAGGGGACTTTAAACAGTTTGTTGGAAAATACCATTATGTTTTCATTCACTTCTTCTACAAACTCTTTGAAGTCCCCTCACCTGCTTCCGCGGGTGACCTCTCCCAAGTCCCCTCACCTGCTTCCACGGGTGACCTCTCCCAACACGTTGGTGTTCTTACACTGCTTCCACGGGTGACCTCTCCCAACACGTTGGTGTTCTTACACTGCTTCCGCGGGTGACCTATCCCAACATGTTGGTGTTCCTCACCTGCTTCCGCGGGTGACCTATCCCAACACGTTGGTGTTCTCACCTGCTTCCGCGGGTGACCTGTCCCAACACGTTGGTGTCCTCACCTGCTTCCACAGTGACCTATCCCAACACGTTGGTGTTGCTGCCTGTCCTTTCCCCGCACTTCCGACCATGCAGGACAGAGTGCCTAATGATAATCAAGATGGATGGGAAAGGGCATAGGACTTGGCTTTGAAAACAGATGTCACAGTTCCACTATAAGATCTTATATTAATCTGTAAGTTTAATGGTGGTGGGATTGACTTTACTAGATCTCAAATATTTTAATAAATATACATTTCTGTAGTGAATTAGTGCTTTTGGATATGCATGTATACCTACATATTTGCATTTCTCACCGCAAGACATAGTTGCCTAAAATGCTTGATTTATTTTTCAGGTGAAACTGCCACCAATGATGGAAATCATAACTGCTGAGCAGCTGATGGAATATTTAGGTTAGTGTTGAAAAATGAATGATTTTACATCACTTGCAAAAGAAAATAAAGTTTTTTAAGTGAATGTGTTACCAAATATCACCTTTCTGAAGTGCTATTATATCATCTATTTTTAATTTTTGGTTTTTAATCTAACTAAAATGTTTGTCAGTATATTACTATTGTTATTATTATGCCATAACCTGTTTCTGACCAGCATTAGAATTCTGTAATATTAAAAAGGAGACTAGGTAGATCTCAAAAACAACAACAACAACAAAAATAAAACACATGTTAATTCTGTGCTGCTGTTCAGTTTGGCAGACACTATTTATTTTTGCCTCTTGAGCACTTCAAATGTGGCTAATGTGAATAAGAAACTGAATTTTAAATTTAATTTTAATTCATTAAATATATATAGCTGCATATTGATTAGTGGGTACTGTTTTAAACAGTACATGTTTAGTCTGTAAATGTAAATTTAGGAGCAGATAGCATATCAGAGTGGTTGTTGGAGCATCAGACAGGGTAATATCATGAAATTCAATGAATATTAATAGAGAAGAAAAGAGGCCAGTGAATTGAGTTCAGGGTACTGCCAATGATTTAGAAGCTGGGGAATGAGGAGGGGCAGGAGTGCCCAGCCAGGCAGAAGAAAAGCAGGAGAGTGATTTCCTGGAATCCAAGTGCAGCAAATGGTTCACAGAAAAGTGAGAGATTAGTAAGGTGAAGAATAAAAAAAGCTATTGATTTAGCAGTAATGCACCGGTAATCTTAACAGTTGCATGGGGGAAACCTGACTAGAGTAGGTATAAGAAAAAAATGTCCTGGCCCACCAAGCCCTGAGGACAATGTTCCTGCTCAAAGCAGCCAGTGCACAGAGGGGACCACATGGCCGGCCCCACTACAAGACATGAAGTCCCTCACTGACCCATAGCACTACGGGGGACAACACTGGAGACACAGTGTGGGAATTGTGCCTGATCTGACCCTACCACATCAAGGTGAAACACGGGGTACAAAAGAACAGCAAGGGGAGCAGAGCAATGAAGTCCCCAGGGAATACCAAAAGTAGACTTTGGGGCCAAGATGCAGCACCCCATCAGACTCAATGAGAAAACACTCCTAAAGGTCAACCAACAGGCCTTAAACTATTTACAGGCTTTGTTTTATCTTTGGTGCTTTGTTGTTTTGTTTTGTTGTTTTGTTTTGCTCTGTTTTGTTTTTGTACATATTATTATCTCTGAATGTCTACCTAGATAAGATAGGCAGGATAAACAATCTGGAGGAGAAAACAATGGACCTACATACAGTTCCAGGGGGACATGGGAGAGGGGGAGGTGAAAGGAAGTGGGTGTTAACAAACCCAGGGACAAGAGAACAAGAAGTGATCTAAAATCGATGGCGAAGAGGGTGTAGGAGGCCTGGTAGGGCTTGATCAAGGGCAATGTAATCGAGAGGAATTACTGAAACCCAAATGAAGGCTGGACATGATAGTGAGACAAGAGGAAAGTAAAAGGAAATAACTAGGAGGCAAAGGACATTTATAGAGGTCTAAATACAGATATGTACATATGTAAATATATTTGTATATGATAACGAGGAAATAGATCTATGTACATGTGTTTATAGGTTTAATATTAAGGTAGCAGATGGATATTGGGCCTCTACTCAAGCACTCCTTTAACACAAGGACAATTTGTTCCATTAACCTGGCATTCCATGATGCTCACCTTCCCGACATGAATGCTGATTTGCTTATATGCAGGCGTATAAGCAAATGTGGTAAAGAAAGCTGATGGTGCCTGGCTGTCAAAAGATATAGCATCTGGGATTGTAAAGACTTGAAGATAAACAAGCGGCCACCTAGCTGAGAAGCAACAAAGCCCACATGGAAGAAGCACACCAGCCTGTGTGATCATGGGGTGGCTGTAGGATCAGTTATCAGTCATCAAAGACCTAAAACAAAAATCATATCATTGTGAATGAGGGGGAGTGCGAAGTGGAGACCCAAAGCCTATCTATAGGCAACTGGACATCCTCTTACAGAAGGGTCGTGGGGAGGAGACGAGCTAGTCACAGTGCAGTATAGCACCAGTGAAGCATACAACTTTCCTCTAGTTCTTTAATGCTTTCTCCCCACCCCTCACTGTCATGACCCCAGTTCTACCTTACAAATCTGGCTGGACTGGAGCATGTACATGAGTACAGACAAGAGCTGGAAATACAGGGAATTCAGGGTAGATAAACCCCTCAGGACCAATATTGATAACAGCCATACCAGGAGAGTGAGGGGAAGGTAGGGAAGCTATATGGGGAACCGATCACAATGATCTACCTATAACCCCCTCCCAGAGGGATAGACAACAGAAAATTGGGTGAAGGGAGACATCTGTCAGTGTAAGACATGAAAAAATAATCAGAATTTATAAATCATCAAGGGTTCCTAAGGGAGAGTGGGAGAGGGAGGGGACAAATGAGATGAAAATGAAGATGGCAACAGAGGTACAAATGTGTTTGACATGATGGATGTATGGATTGAGAAACGAGTTGTATGAGTCCCCAGTAAAATGATTTAAAAGGAAAAGAAAGGAAAAAATGTAGACTCATGCATAATCTGGATCTTCTAGACTAAGAACAGACTACAAAGAAGGAAGAGGTGGTCTACTTCTAAACTATTAGCCCTGACAAATTTATGACTAGCAGCCAAACATTGTCTAATATAGTGCTAGAAGTTGAGCCCCTTTCATGGGAAGCCACTCAAAATATGGCTGTTTCCTCAAAGTAGAATCAACTTAATGGTTTGGAGCAAAGCTCTCAGACCTTCATTTGCCGATGGGGTATGTGGTAGTTATATATTAATTTGTCAGTTTGAGGATTAAGAGTGAAAGGGTGGAATCTAATCTGTGAATCGAATAATAGCCAATGAGGCCTCCATGTGGGCTTTCTCCTGAGAATTCTGGAAAATCTGGGATTTCCTCCTTAGAGGCAGAAGACACACACTCTCTAGGTTCACTCCCTGGGAGACATTGTAGCTGACAAGACACATGGAGAAGCCACATGGACCTGCCCTGATGCAACCAGACCTCTGAAGCTAGAGAAGTCATGGAGAGACTCTTGCCAGTGCTGAGACCCTTACAACATCACTGGTTCCCAAGACTTTCCACCCACTCGCCTGTGATCATTCTGCATTTGGTGTCAATGCATGTGTTTCGTGAGTCTGAAGAGGACTTACATATTGGTGTCGGACATATGGACTAATATTGGACTTATGGCTTAGCCTGGACGGGGCTGGGATGTTTCCTCAATATTCAACTGTTTTTGCATATAAACCTTTCTCTTGTACACATAATGTGTGTGCATGAATTTGTTCCTCTAGTCTACCCGGACTAACTCAGGGTACAACTGAAAATGAGTTCCAATAATTAATGAAAAAGAGCTGTAAATATCCATTAATAATCAGAATGTATAATGAGTTAAATACATATCTAGGAAAGTTGGAAGTTGTCAAAAAATGACATGGACTGCATAAAGATTGCTATCCTAGGCATCCGTGAGCTAAAATGGACTGGTATTGATTGGACAGCTTGAGTCAGATAATCATATGATTTCCTATCCTGGGAATGGAAATTCAAGAGGAATGTTATCACATTCATCATCAAAAAGAACATTCAATATCTACCTTGAAATACAATATTGATTGTGATAGGATTTTAGCTATATGCTTATAAGGAAGACCAGTTAATACAATCATTATTCAAATTTACTTATCAGCCACTAAATGAGTTCCAATTATTAATGATAAGATTTTGAAGAATTGCAGTTTCTTCAGTGCAAAATTGATCAAACTTATAATTAAGATAGATTGATAATTACTGGTGAATGGAATGCTAAAATAGGAATGAAATAAAGATCAATAGTTGGAAAATATGACCTTGATGATAGAAATGTAGACCAATCACTGCATTACAAATACTTTTGTCCAGCCACATAAATAGCAAATATATACATGAGCCCTGCATCGGAATACACAGAAATCATACTGACTGCATTTATGAGGAGAGAGGATGGAGTATCATTAAACAAGGCCAGGGGTCAACGGAGAAAGAGACCATTAATTACTCACATGCAAGTGTAGGTTCAAGCTGAAGAACATTGAGTCCAGCTCATGACAGGCAAATTAAACCCTTCAGTCTATCTCATCTGAATCTGGAGGCCATCTCAAGAACATTTGATACATTGAACACTAATGACTGAAAACCAGACCAATTGTAGGCTGACATCAAAAACTTCATACCTGATAAAAGCAAAAGGTCATTAAAAAGATAGGAAAAGACCAAAGTGGATGTCAGAAGAAACTTTGAAATTTGCTTTTGAGGAGCTAAAGCAAATAGAAGAAATGATGAAATAAAAGAAAGAGCTGATCAATTTTTTTTCCAAAAGGTAGTTCAAGAAACAAAGCATTGTAATGAAATGTGCAAAGTCCTGGAATTAGACAACTGAAAAGGAAGAATTCATGTAGCATATCCCAAACTTAAGAACAGAAGGAGAAAATCAGGCCTCAAGTTGCAGTATTGAAGTATTGTATGTGCAAAATACTGAATGATACAGGAAGCATCAGAAGAAGATGGAAAGAATACAGTCACTATAACAAAGTCACTATCTAAAAAATAAGTGATGGACATCCAGCCGTTCAAGAAGTAGCATATGATCAGGAAGCAATGTGTAGAAGGAAGAAGTCCCAGCTGTACTGCAGGCATTAGTGACATACATGGCTTCGAGTTGGTAGAATACTAACTGAAAAGTTACAAAATGCAGATTAGGAGACAGGGAGCAGGTTGATGAGCTGTTTGAACTGTTGAATACAGAGTTGATGATCTGAAATGTAATGCGACTCCCCCACACCTACCTAATTCATAAGAAAAAATTACATACAACTTTCCTCTAGGTCTTAAATGCCTCCTCGCCCCCCACTATCATGATCCCAATTCTACCTTACAAACCTGGTTAGACCAGAGGAT